AATGTATAGTTTACAAAGGTTTAATAAAGCACACCTAACTAACCTGACAGAGGGTTAATTAAAAAAAAAAAAAAAAAAAAAAAAAAAAAAAAAAATTATTATTTATAAATAAATATTAACTATTTGATCTTTATTTATAGTATATCTCCTTGCTTATGTCATAATTCTCAGTATATAAATCTTATTTGAAAAGAAATTTTCAAAATAATATATAATTTAACTTTAATAATCCAGTAATTAATAAAGTAACCTCTATAACTAATAATAAGTTACTATACGAGGAAATCGATCTATAAAGATAGATGGTCACGGGTTATTAAAAAAAAAAAAGTATCTAAAATTTGAATCTAATCGATAGTTTTAACCAATCAGCGTAGTCAATATAAAAACGGATCATTCGATAAAAATTTTCGTTTTTTACCTTCAAAGAAAAACGCGAATTATTACGATAATGTTTAAAAATTTCATATCTAAGTCTTCTTTGGCAGCTTCCCCGGTTCGTACCAACCTTTTCACACATGCTACCAGTTCGCTTTTGCGTCGAGGATTAGCCAGTAAGACTATATACGTAGCAAACGTCTCATTCAATTCCACCGAGCAAGGACTTGAAGAACTAGGTTCAAAATTCGGTAAGGTTGAGTCCGTCCGTATGCCAAGAGATTACGAAGGTAGAAGTCGCGGTTATGGTTTTATCGAATATTCTCAAGAGGAAGAAGCTGCTAAAGCCATGGACGGACTTAACGGTGTTGTATTCGAAGGCAGAGAGCTAAGAGTGGCGGAAGCCCGCGGACCTAACACCTATGATGGACCACGTGGTGGACGTGGTGGTGGATTTGGGGGTGGGTTTGGCGGCGGCAGATATGGCAATAGTGGTGGTCGCGGTGGAAACTGGGAAGAACGCCGTCCACGTTACGATGATGATCAATGAAACTTTTTTATTTTATTTTTTTTTTTGAATAAAAAATGTATTCTTTTTTAACTGTTTTATCTAATTAGATCATATCGTTTATTCAAAACAAACTACTACAAATATTTTCTCCTTGTTAAGTCTTACATATTATAAAATAAGTGGGAAAAACAAATGAAAGGTATTTATAACAGTGATGTGAAGAATAGTGTTTAAATCTAACATAATATTCAATGCAATAGTTTTTAAATAAAATAATATGCATTTAACTGGGTGTATTTGAAATTTTTATGGCATTGTAAAATTGGATCAAAAAATCCACCATGTTGTACTACATGAGATATGCGGCAGTTTCATCCAACTCTTCGTACTACATTTTAATGCAACATAGACGTTAGCGATTCAGTTTCTTACAATTGCGATCAAGGATGAATAAAAAGCTTACCATTATGTAATCGCGTAAAATATGTACTTTATCTTCGTCCCAGTAAATCCAAGTATGACGGTATATTAGCGCCCATACATATGGACAGAAGAATTCTTGCGAATCGGAACCTTCTTCATATTGAAACTTAAGATCAGGAAATTCCTACAAAATTTAGGTTACCAAGAGTGATAATTAGTACAAGTAGAAATATGACATAAAATTAAAGAGTTGTATTGATTGAAATTACAACTTTGAGTCGACCAGGTGGCCAAGTTCTTGCTGCAGTTTCTATTAATTCGGATACTTCTTCGGCAGAAGGGGATTTTAAATTTGATTCAGAAATTCTCGTATGGAAATAAGTTATTACCTTTTTGAACAGACGAATAAATGAATGAACTGAAACTTTTAGCAATTGAACGATAAAAGATTGCATGAAATTACATTGTCGATATTAGCAATTAATTCTGAAAATCTCGGATGTGACTGAAAATGAACAAAGAGATCTTTTTTATGGAGTAATGAATAGATCAGTTCAAGATTTGAATGAAGCCTTCGGGACAAGACGGAGTTTATTATTTCCAACACCAGGCAAACAAGATCGCCGTATATGATAACGTCATCAAACTGTGGATTTAAATCGATTAATTTCTAACAAAGTCTAATTAGGGCAAAACATGCGAAATAGGTTCTATAAAGATTACCATTTCGCCTTCGCCCTCTTGATGTGTCCTTTTTTGAAGTCTTTGATATCTTTTTGCCACAATATCGAACAAACTAACATAAAAAATCGATGAGAGGCTTTCGTTGGTTGAATACCTCAAAAAGCTTAGTTGCTGAGAAGATGAGAAAGATGTTACTTTATAAGACGCTGCGCCACATATGGGTGAATGTCTTGAATGCTGTTTCCCAAATTTGCCAAAGTCGCCAAACAATTGGTGTGAAAATATGCATCCTGATAAGAGTAAGTATATTCAATATTAATAACACCAGATAACTAACGCAATCTATTTGAATACCCCCCCCCCAAAGGGACAACTTACACGATGAGAACTAAGATTGTATTGGACGGCGCGTATCAAAACTAGATATGCGAGGCCACCCAGCGATATGGATTTTAGCAAGCGTTCTGTGAACCACGGTTGGTATGATACTGTCTGTGAATTGATTAATCAAAATTCATCAATCAAGAGGAAATGCTTGATCCTATAATAGATTTACCGAAAGGATGCTTACGATTCTTTGAATATTCTCATTAAACACCTCATCCTGACTGAACAATAAAAGAATAGTAAGTAGAATGTACATTTGGGAATAATTGGCCTTTCCATCAATTCCATCATAAATCAGTCGTAATATTTGAAGCAACTATTTTTGTCGGAAAACGGATGGTAATGATGGATCGCATGAGAATGATAATAGGTGATAATCAAAATCAAATGCTCACATCTTATAACTTTAATACCTACGAGAATTTCTGGATCTAATCGCGATAATACATAAACCCTGAAGTCCTCATTTTCAACCATAAATAAATATAGTAACAAACAAACTTCTTCATTAGGTAGCTGACTATCATGAAAATAGTAGTTAGATAGGGGAAAGAATATAAATAAAATAAGACAGTACCAACGATTACCGGCAAATTAATTGGTATAAACCACGAAATGATATAACCATGTCAAAATCCCCTGATGCTAGACATTAAAAAAATTATTTATAGTTATTTAATGCCAGACTTTTGAACTTCCATACCATCACGTGATAAATGAAACAAACTTTGTATGTCCTTCAGTGATCTGATTCCTTCTCGAAATTCATTACAATCTTGACCCGGCATTTTCCATTGAGCAGTAAGCAGGAGTAACATGAGCAAACTTCTTTCTGCTACTGGCGGGGGATCGGATAATAGGATTGCAGATGATCTACTGGGAAAAAGATAGGAATATGCATTATACACAACACCTATCATTGTAAAAAAAGATGTACCAGCAAATTAAAAAAAATTTTTTTTTTTTTTTTTTTCTATTTGCTGGAAGTGAACTTGAAAATAGTTTTTATGTAACGCATTTTCATACTTGTTGAAGAAGGAGGCGGAGGCTTTTGCTCGACAAAATTTGTCAATAATCGCTTCGTTAGCTCGTTGCACAGATGACTGTATATATTTGAACATTTATGTCTAAGTCAAACCGTTCAATAACCGCAAAAAACAAAACAATACGTGAAGTCGAGACATAATACCTGAATCGAATCAAAAAAATGTTCAGAAAATAATCATTACTAATCCTACTAGAGGACGTTTGGTGTATTTGAGTAGAGAAGAGTACGATGAGTGTGTTCAGACACTCTTGGTAATACTCATGGATGGATGCATTAAATCTTCAGAATTAAGTAAATGTTATTACAAACGGACGCGAGTGAAATTTCACGTTATAACAAGAAAATATATCATACATTGGATCCATTCGTAGTATAACAGTTAACAGTCCATCCAATAACTGTTCGGCTTTTAGCCTCGAGTCTTTTAATACCATCGGATCAATCATTAGCTTGTTTAGGTCAAGTTCTAACGAAGTTCTTTTATATTCTTCAGATGATATCCCATCAACCTTTGAGGCACTACCTATTAATACAATTATAACTTATAAACTTGATTTCCAATTCACATTCATTATATTCAACATATCAACAAACCTTCAAATTGATAATGAATTTCGTCGTGTGTCATATTTCCAACAAAGTGCTTTGAAAAAATTCGCACAAGAAATAATGAATTATACGCCGCGATAGGTATTTCGCTAGAGTGTTCAATTTTGGCCGTAAGCATATTATTATTATTAGATTAATCAGATAAATGTTAACGACGCGTTATAATTAATACCCCGTGAATTCGGGTCTTAGAATCCTGCGCATCTGACTCAGTGTATGAAGGAGCAGCGTGTTGAAATTGACCGTCTTTTCATTATTTGCGGCTATAAGAAATGAAATTAATATTCTGGTAATATGATCTGATAAATAATGTAGAATATACTGTACGCACCAAATTCGATAGCCAAACTCACGGTAGCCATTTCGACATCGTAAGCATCTTGCCTTTGTAAGTTAAGTCATTCTAGATCAGTTCTCGTATCATTTTTAGGGATGGGATCAAAATTTCGCGTAATCTCGCAACTAATTTATAACTATTTTTTTTTTTCTTTTTTTACGAACGCGTTGATTATGCCCATAGTTTTCTTATTACCGACCAACCAAAATTCTAATAAATCTAACTTACGGCGGACTCACCCAGAATTCGTGACCGGAAATTTTTCGCTTAAAAGAATATTTTCCCAATGCTCCGTGTTGTAAATTGATAATGATCTATCAGAACACAAGTTTTTTAATTGATTGTACTGATTGTTAGTAAAAATAGAAATTTCTGCGAGTGATTTTCGCTGAATAAATGATTGTTGTATTCCAAGCACTAGATTCGCAGCTAAAGGGAGGGGGCGACGGGGAGTATTTGGAGATACCGAATTTGGGTTGTAATTTGAAGTGGAGGGTGGGTTTAGGCTTGTTTGCAAAGCAAAATAATCGGTACGATCTATCGTGTCAAGGGGCTGAGGAATTTTGCGGACTTGAGAGTTCCTAGAAACTGTAGAGTAAGGGGGTAATAAAAGCGGGTGATGAGATGATGGAATCGTCTCAAGCGTAGGTGTTAAGGGAACTGGTGTAGGACTATGGAGTTGAGGAGGACGAGAAAGCTGAGCGGGCTGATGAGACTTGGACATGCGGGAGCTAAGTACGCCGGACGTTACCAGCAAAAGACAATTTCGATAAATTTTGTTTTACAGTAAATTTTAAAGATCCAATTAAATCTCGCCACACAAAAAACACTCAATTTTTAAATTTATAATTACAGTATATGCTATTTTGTATTGGATGTATTTTTAAAGTTTTATTATTGTCAAACCAATTTTTTCTTTATCAACTATAAAATTACACTTGTCTTTATTGAATAATAAATAGAGCCAAACAAATGTTACAATAATATATCACATAACAATTGACTTGTTTTTGTTGAAGAATTAAACTGCTAAAAAAAATATAAAAAAGTCTATTGAGCTAGTTTGAATTAAATTTAAATTGAAAAAAAAAAAACAATCCAAACACTTATTGGTATTAGATGTGGGCAAATTTATTAAGACTTTAAGCTTAACAACAGCATTACATCAATCATCTTATACATATTAACATTAACTTACAATATTTTATAATCTCTAAAACAATAATTTATTTTAATCTGTTATCAGATTAATATAACTTTTTTTTTTTTTTTTTTTTGAGTATCTATAGCCAAGCTAGATTGTGAGTTTATTAATCAATTGAAAACAAAAGTACATTTCATTCAAGCAGCATGATACATATTACAGCTAAACTATTATTTTAATCTAACTAACTTGTCTTAAGTATAAAAGCCTCTAAGTTTGACCTTGGAAACAATATTTCGCTTCATAGTGTCTTTGAGTGAAAACCCTCCTAATCCACTATATCATTGTCAGCAGGTTGTCACTGCCATATGTCTGACCAAGCCACTGGATTATAGGAAGCTATAAAAAGATAGATTGGAAAAAGGGGAGGAAGGATATCTAAAAATGTCTAAGTAGACCATAAGAAAATGAAAGAGTAAAAAAAAAAACTCTTTCCGCTGATCCACTATTTTTCTAAAAATTTCCTTTTTTAGTAATTGTTTAGAGAAAAAAGGATAACACATTTCAAGCTCAGCAAACACAATAAAAAGAAACACAACCACATCAACTCACTTGGAACAACACATAAAACTCTATAAACAAGCCACCAGAAAAAGAGTACATAATAATAACATTAGTACTTTATCCATCAACTTTTGAGGAAAAGG